AAGGGCTTGATGGTGATGAACTCCTTTAACTTGACCTTATCTGGGAAGCACTTGATCTGCCCTTCCATTTTAAATGATAGTTTTGCTAGAGAGAGTCATCTTGGATGTAGTCCTTGCCTTTCACAACTTGGAATACTTCTTTCCAGCCCCTTCTTGCCTGCAAGGTTTCTTTTGAGAAATCAGCTGAGAGTCTTATGGGAACTCCTTTGTAGGTAACTGTCTCCTTTTCTCCCGCTTCTTTTAAGATTCTCTCCTCATCTTTAATCTTGGATAATGTAATTAAGATGTGCTTTGGTGTGTACTTCCTTGGGTCCAACTTCTTTGGGACTCTGAGCTTCCAGGACTTCCTGGAAGTCTATTTTCTTTGCCGGATTGAGGAAGTTCTCCTTCATTATTTGTTCAAATAAGTGTTCAGTTTCTTGGTCTTCCTCTTCTCCTTCTGGCACCACTATGATTCAAATGTTGGAACGTTTAAGGTTGTCCCAGAGGTTCCTAAGACTCTCCTCATTATTTTGAATTCTTGTTTCTTTATTCTGTTCTGGTTGAATATTTATTTCTTCCTTCTGCTCCAAACAGTTGATTTGAGTCCTGATTTATTTCCTGTCACTGTTGGTTCCCTGTACATTGTCCTTTATTTCATTTTGCATAGCCTTTACTTTTTCCTCCATTTTGTGACCATACTCAACCATTTCTGTGAGCATCCTGATTACCAGTGTTCTGCACTGTGTATTTGATAGGTTGGCTATCTCTTTGTCACTTAGTTGTATTTTTTTCTGGAGCTTTGATCTGTTCTTTCACTTGGGCAATATTTTTTTGTCTTAGCATGCCTATTAAATTGTAAGGGGTGGCCCTGGCTGGTGTGGCTCAGTGGATTGGCACCTGACTGCAAAGCATAGGGTTGCTGGTTCAACTCCCAGTCAGGGCACATGCCTGGGTTGCAGGCTGGGTCCCCAGTTGCAGGGCGTAAGAGCCAGATGCACACTGATGTTTCTCTCCCCTTCTTTCTCTCTTCCTTCTCCTCTCTCTAAAAATTAATAAATAAAAAGAAAAAAAGTTGTAAGGGGTGGAGCCTTAGGTATATCACCAGGGCAAGGCAACCCAGGTCACTGTGTTGTGGACCTGTATGTGGGGGAGGGGTTCAAGAGGGAACAATGCCACTTGTTCAGCTCTCTGCCAGCTTTCTGTTTCTTCCCCTGCTATCCATAAGCAAATTGGGCCCTTTTGGGGCTGATTCCTGATCGGGTGGTTTTGTGAAGGTTCTAGGACCCTTCACTGGGTCTCTCCAGTGAACTCTCCTGTGAGGCTAGGAGTTTCTCCCACCACCTCACCCCCTATAGGTTTTTACAGTCAGAGGTTTTGAGGCTTTATTTCCCTGCAGTGGAACCCTGAGTTGTGCAGTGTGTCTCACTCCCCAGTTGTTCTTCCTGGTTTATCTGCATGCAAATGTGGGACTGCCCGCTCTGCTAGCCACTACATTGCTGTGAGTCCTTTCCACCCAGCTGCCCATCTCTACCCCTCCTACTAGTCTGGATGAATGTTTCTTTTTTAACTCCTTGGTTGTTAGACTTCCATATAGTTTGATTTCGTGGCAGTTCTAGTTTTTTCTTTGTTTTTAAATTTATTGTTGTTCTTCTTTCAGTTGTGCAAGGAGGAATAGTGTGTCTACCTACACCTCCATCATAGCAGGAAGCCCAAAGCACTGTTCTTATGTTAGATATATTATCAATTAATTTTACTTTACCAACTATACTCTTAGCCATCAATAGGACTTTTACTAATTATTTGCATTCCATATGCCCCTATCATTGTGATTATGAGTGAATAAATGAGTAAATGAAAAGGAATACTTTTCTTTCTAAGAAACTATTGTCTCAATGCTTATATTCTATCCATGAAGATAAAGATCCTTGCATATGTGTGTATATTAAGGGAAAGTTTTGTAAGAACTGGTGGATTTATGCCTGTTTTAAGAATTTTCACATCTAAACTGATTTACAAATTGATCTATTCATGTCTTTGTATTACAGATTGATGAGACCAGAATCCCTTTAAAAGAACATGAAGTAAAATCAATGGATTCTTTTTGTCTTAACACCAAACACTTTTTCCTTAAAAGGGTCCCATTTGATCTTTGAACTATTCAACGAAACAAAACTGTTCACCCTACAGTGACCTTTCCTTCTGGGAATTTTCTCAACATTTACATATATGGTGGACATCCTCAAACTTGTTATATATTCCTCTCTGACAGTATCATATAAGTAATTTCCTTTATAAAACCATAAAATCACAACATTAAATCCCTCCATTACTACAGTGCCTGGTGTATAGGAAATAATAATGGCAAACACAATACATGATACAAAAAACTTTATGTATAATTAACTCCTTTGATTTGTAGAATAATCTGTGAAGTAGGTACCATTATTATCTTCATTTTAAGGATGTAAAAACTGAGGGACAGATAAATCAAGCATCTCACCATGATTTGTAAGTCACAGGTGAGATTCCAACCAAGTCTGAGTTTAGAATCTGAATTTTTGATCAGTTACAACCTTAACCAGTTACACTAGTTAAGGTTTCATGAGTATTAGTTTATTAATCAGTACATCATTGGAGCCCATGGACTACTGATGGAATTGGATTCTTCACTTAATGTTTTCAGCTTCTGGATAGAAGGTAGCACAGTGTCTGACACCCAGGACAGTGCCTGACAACGAGTTCCACTGGCCGGCACCCCTCAGCCCTGTCCCTCTAGCACAGCTGTGCGAGATCAATAGACCTATGTGTGTGGCTGGGGATGCAGGGGACTGGACAATGTCCCACTTTGTTCTCCCCATGCACCAGCTGATACATTGCCAGAGACCTTCCATTTTTAGAAATACAGCTCAAAAAGAATATAAATTGAGAGCACTGGTTATCACTATGCTGTACACCTGAAATGAATTATCAAATAATATTGAATGTCAACTGAATTGAACATTTTTTAAAAAGGAAAAAAAGGATGGTGGTTATAATTAAGTTTTAATTTGTTTCTAAAATTATGAAGGATAAATATAGTTAAAGATGATAAGAGTTATCATTTACTGCACCCTTGAGATGTGGCAGGTACTGAGCCAAGTGCTTTATTGCATTGTCTTATTTAATCTCTCCTACAGCCCTGACCAGTAGGAACTCTTCTGTTACTTAAAGACAGGAAAGTGAGGCTCAGAGGCTAAGGCCACAGAGCCATACACACAGAGCCCTCCTCCCCCTCCTTTTCTCCATCGTGCCCTGTCTGTCTCCTCCCCTACACTCTGGCTCCTGTCTGTTTCTGTCTTGTTCCTTTAAAATTAAAATATAAGTAACACAGTGAAAAAAACCCACTTTTTTCATTGTTAATTTTGTTTGGAACAAAATAGCATTGAGATATATTTTTGTTTGAATCCTTATCTCTTAGACATGTTTACAGTGAAATGTTTACAGTGAAGTGTTTACAGTGAAGTGTTCAAAGTCTGCCTTCAAATACTCCAGTATAAATAAATAAATAAATAAATAAATAAATAAATAACAGAAATGTAAAAATAAGGGTAAAGATACAAGAAAAACAAACCCCAAAAAAGAAAAAATTTTTAGCACAGGTTTGGGGACATTTCTAGGACCAGGAAGAGCTTAGCTCTTAGTTTCTTTATTCACTGCCTTGTGGGAATGCCATTAGTCTTGGAGAAAATCCAGATCAAAGCAAGAGCTTCTGGGGGTAAAGATTCTTCTGGAGCATTGGATTTAAAATTTTCTGTGGCTCAGATACTATTGAAATCAGAAAAGTTGTTGACCCCACCAGGTCATACATATTTAATTTAGATTCCTGCAACTAATTTTAATTTAAATTCAATTTAGCAAAAGTGATTTGCATGACATCCTATATAGGAGAAGATGCATTTCACAAAGCAAGTTGCCCAACTTATTCTGTGCTTTGACAGGACCCATGATGCAGAAGAGCAGCCCTTTCTCTAGTCCCTCCTGCTTAAGTCTGTGTGTGGAAGTGACTTGAGGAGGTCAAAGGGATGATGACTGTCACTTGCACTATTAATGTTGCGCTTTTTTTGTGCTGTAAACATACTATAAAAGTTGTTCCCAATTTTTGCAATGGTTGCAATGTTCCCAATGGTTGCAATTTTTAAAATGCCTTAAAACTTTCTTTTTAAAATCTTCATTCAAGGACATGCTTATTGATTTTAGAGAGTGGGGAAGGGAGGGAGAGAGAGGGAGAGACACATCAATGTGAGAGAGAAACTGATCAGTTGCCTCTCGCATACCCCCAGACTGGAGACCAAACCCACAATCTAGTATGTGCCCTGGCTGAGAATAGAACCCGTGACCTTTCAGTTTATAGAGTGATACTCCAACTAATTGAGCCACACTGGCCAGGGCAAAACTTTCAGTAAGTGTTAAGTAGAATGACAGACTGCTTAAAAGTATATGTATGCCTTTTTGGGGGGAAAACTGGACTTTTTAATTTTATCTGATTAAGCTATACTCTAGAATAAAGATTCTTTAAGTGATTATTACTTAGGTAAGAAAGGTGGCAAGCTGATATTGCAGAATAAAATATCAGTAGCAGGTATTGGATATGCTGATGCAAAATTCAGATCACAGGGAGGTCTACTTTCAGTGTGTTGTTTTAATATAGCAGGGTAATTTAAGGCCAGTGTAATCAGAAAGGCTTTAGGAAACAAAGGAATATCTGAAAAGTTCTGAAATCGGCCTTACTTAGAGTGACTCCTACTCAGCTACTAACCAGAGTGACACATTGGCCATGCAGCAGCCTGACTAGAGAGGAACTGACTTTGTTATTTTTTCCCCCATGGGAGTAATAAAATGGCAGTTCAGTACACTGTGCTATAGCTCTGAAAAAGGATGAAAATTCTCTGTAAGGGGATGTATGTACTCAAATGTGGGCTTCGCTACAGGGTAACTTTATCTTATTCCTCCTCTTCTCTTTCCTCCCATCCCCTGCACAGGACACACGAATCCTATCTGAAGAACAAATGTACCTGGTTCTCTGAGATGGACAGTACATCACAGAGCGGCCTCTCATGGAGTCCTGGAAACACAGCTACTGAATTTATTTGGGGCACTGAAAGGAGTAAGTTAAAAAGGGGTAAACTTAAGTTGGCACAATATATATGGTACATATATGGATATGTGTTATATATAAAATATATAATTATAATTTTGTACATAACAAGTGCATATATTTATGTATGTATATCATATATAGTTATGTATCTAAATCTATATGTTTAAATACATGTTGATGCCTGGCTGTCTGTTTTGTACTCTGTGTGATAGAACAAACAGTTACTATTGGCATTTTCAAACAATCTGTATAAAGACTAGACACAAATAAAAAAATACAGGTATTTTCCTATTTTCTTTATCTGTAGAATAGGTGGTGGACTTGAGAACTACTTTGTACTTGTTCATTTCTCATTATGACATTTTTAGAATTATTTTTAAAACAAAGTTTATGAGATTCTTCTTTCTACTAATTATCATTTAAAATGAAACTTGAAATGGCTTAACATATGTGATTAGGTATTTTACATTTTATTTCATTAAAAATAATTTAACTGATCTCTTAAACAAATGGTGTCGGGAAAAATGAATATCCACAGGCGAAAAAAAAACAGGATGCCTATCTTATAGCATTTACAAAAATTCACTTGAAATTCATTAAAGACTTAACTCTAACACTTGAAACTATAAAACTTCTGGAAGAAAACATAGGGGAAAGCTCCTTGACATTGGCCTTGACAACAATTTTCTGGAGATGACACCAAAAGTACAAGCAACAAAGCAAAAATCAAAAAGTGGGACTACATCAAACTATAATGCTTCTGCACAGCTAAAGAAATGATCAGCAAAGTGAAAAAGCAACATACAGAATGGGAGAAAATATTTGCAAATCATGTATCTGATAAATGGTTAATATCCAAAATATATAAAAAACTCGTGCAACTCAATGGAAAAAGAACAAATAATCTGATTTAAAAAATGAACAAAGGACCTGAAGAGAAATTTTTCCAAATAAGGTATATATTTCAATGGTCAACAGGTAAACAGGTACCTGAAAAAGTGCTCAATGTCACTAATCATCAGGGAAATGCAAACTCAAACCACAATGAGTTATCATCTCATGCCAATTAGAATGGCTCTTATCAAATAGACAAAAAATAAAAGCTGGTAAGAACTGGGAAAAAGGGAACCCTTGTGCACTGTTGGTGGGACTGTAATTTAGTGTAGCCACTATAGAAAACAACATGGAGATCCCTCAAAAATTAAAAATTGATCTACCATATGATTCAGTAATCTCACTTGATACATATCTGAAAGAACTAAAATCACTACCTCAAAGAGATATCTGCACCCCCACGTTCAGTGCAGCATTATTTATTACAATAGCCAAGACATAGAAATAACCTATGTGTCCATCAAAAAATGAATGGATAAAGAAACAGTGAGATATAATGATATATCTACCTACTTTTATCTATCATCTATCTATCTATCTATCTATCTATCTATCTATCTATCTAATTCAGCCACATATACACACACACAAAGAAATCCTGCCATTTGCCAGAACATAAATGGATCTTGAGGGTATTATGCTAAGTGAGATAAGTTAGACAGAGAAAGACAAATAGCATATGATTTCACTTAGATGTGGAATCTGAAAACAAACAAAAAACCTCATAGAAACAGAGCACAGATTAGTGGTTGCCAGTGACAGGGGTGGTATGGGGAACAGGGAAATGTTGGCAAGGGATACAAATTTCCAGTTACAAATTACAAGATAAATAAGTTCTGGGGGATCTAACATATAGCATGGTGACCACTGTTAACAACACTGTAATGTATACTTGAAGTTACTATGAGAACAGATCTTAAAAGTCCCTAAAACATACAAACACACAAATGGTAGCTATGTGAGGTGTGAATATGTCAACTAACCTTTGGTAATCATTTTGAAATAAATACATATATCAAATCACCATGTGGTACACCCTAAACTTACAGTTATATGTTAATTATATCTCAATAAGGCCAGGGTAGAAAACATCTGTTCAGAAAAGGAAAAAAATAAATGGCGTGAACAGGCAAAGTATAAATTGTGAGAAAATATTTGAAAACCACATATCTGATAAGGGGTTAATGTCTAAAATATATTAAAAACTCCAAACTCCTACAACTCAGTGCTAACAATTAATAACCAATTAAACATGGGCAAAAGACTTGAATAACTCTTTCTACAAGGAATATAAATAAGTGGCCAAAAGCATATAAAAAGATACTCAAATTCACTAATTATCAGAAAATGCAAATCAAAACCACAATGAGACTCACTTCTGGCTAAGATGGAGGCATAGGTAGATATACTATGCTCCTCACACAACAATTTAAAAACTAAACCAACCAGAACTGCCAGAAAATTGAACTGTATGGAAGTCTGACAACCAAGGAGATAAAGAAGAAACATTCATCCAGACCAATAGGAGGGGCAGACATGGGCAGCCAGGTGGAGAGGACTCTGGTAAGGCGGGGGCTGGTGGACTGCATGAGGTAGTAGCTGATCCCATATTTGCATGAAGATAAACCTGGAGGAGCAAGACAGACCACACAACCAAGGGTTCCAGTGTGGGTAAATAAATCTTCAAAACTTCTGACTGAAAAAACCTGTGGTGGTTGAGTTGGCAGGAGCAACTCCCAGCCTCACAGGAGAGTTCATTGGAGAGACCCACAGTGTTCTAAAACATACACAAACACACCCACACAGAAATCAGCACCAGAAAGGGCCCAATTTGCTTGTGGGTAGCAGAGGAAGTCACTGAAAGCCAGCCGAGAGCTGAGCAAGAGGCATTGTTCCCTCTCCCACTCCTCCCCCACATATAGTGCCACAGTGCAAGGTTATCCTACCCTAGCAAATACCTAAATCTCTACCCCTTACAACTTAATAGGCATGCCAAAAAGCCCAGTATGGCCCAAATGAAAGAAAGATTAAAGCTCCAGAAAAAGTACAATTAAGTGATGAAGAGATAGCCAACCTATCAGATGCACAGTGCAAAACACTGGTAATCAGGATGCTCATAGAATTGGTTGAGTATGGTCACAAAATAAAGGAAAATAAAGGAAATAAGGGAATGTATAGAGAAACAACAATGGTTGTTTGCTTGTGCTTTTGGTGTCATCTCCAGAAAACATGCAAAGTGAAATAAAAGAAAGATGTACAGAGAACCAACAGTGATGGGAAGAAAACCAGGACTCAAATCAACTGTTTGGAGCAGAAGGAAGAAATAAATATTCAACCAGAACAGAATAAAGAAACAAGAATTCAAAATAATGAGGAGAGTCTTAGGAACCTCTGGGTTCCCTCTGGGACAACCTTAAATGTTCCAACATTTGAATCATAGTGGTGCCAGAAGGAGAAGAGGAAGACCAAGAAACTGAACACTTATTTGAACAAATAATGAAGGAGAACTTCCTCAATCCGGCAAAGAAAATAGACTTCCAGGAAGTCCTGGAAGCTCAGAGTCCCAAAGAAGTTGGACCCAAGGAAGTACACACCAAAGCACATCTTAATTACATTATCCAAGATTAAAGATGAGGAGAGAATCTTAAAAGAAGCGGGAGAAAAGGAGACAGTTACCTACAAAGGAGTTCCCATAAGACTCTCAGCTGATTTCTCAAAAGAAACCTTGCAGGCAAGAAGGGGCTGGAAAGAAGTATTCCAAGTTGTGAAAGGCAAGGACTACATCCAAGATGACTCTCTCTAGCAAAACTATCATTTAAAATGGAAGGGCAGATCAAGTGCTTCCCAGATAAGGTCAAGTTAAAGGAGTTCATCACCATCAAGCCCTTATTACATGAAATGTTAAAGGGACTTATCTAAGAAAAAGAAGAAGATAAAAAATATGAACAGTAAAGTGACAACTAACTCACAACTATCAACAACCAAACCTAAGAAAAAAAACAAACTAAGCAAACAATTACAACAGGAACAGAATCACAGAAATGGAGATCACATGGAAGGTTATCAGCAGGGAGTGGGAGGGGGAGAATGAGGGAAAAGGTACAAGGAATAAGTAGCATAAATGGTGGACAGAAAATAGACAGGGGAGGTTAAGAATACTATAGGAAATGTAGAAGCCAAAGAACTTATATGTTCAACCTATGGATATGAACTAAGGTGGGTGCATTTGGGTGGGAGGGAGTGTGCAGGGTGGAGGGGAATAAAGTAGGGGGGGGAATGGGACAACTGTAATAGGATACTCAGTAAAATATATTTTTAAAATGAACACTGCTTTGCACATATGTGTTCAGGAATCTAGATTTTACTATATTAATTTAATAATTAATTATTGTTTTAAAATATTGATTGGATTGCTCTAGCCAAAGTCCTAATTTATTTGCCTGGCTCTGACCTAATTCTTTAGCTTCATCTTTGCTCACTCCTATCATCAGCTGCCAGCTCACAACCAGACTGTGCCATACTTTACCATGCTCTATAATTTGTACTTTTTGTTCCCCTTTTCGGCAATGATGTTATCTCTGTTTTCTTTTCCTGATGAATTCATATCTATCATTTTAAGAGTTTGTTTATTGTCCTCATATCTGCTCAGACTTGTCTGCTCCCAAGCAGGAGTCAGTTGCTCTTCTAAACTCCCACAAAATGTTGCTCAAAGCTTCATCAGAATACTTATTGGCCTGTAACAACTTTTTTGCATGTCAGCATGGGATCACCAGCACTGAGCACAGTGTAAGGGAGCTTTATGAAAGCTCAATAAATATATGTTGAAGGAGTGGAAAAGCAAAGATGGTATATGAAATAAGAGCTAAAAATAAGCCTACAGAGAATGTGCTTTAAGAGGATAGAAATTTAAAGAACAGGAAAATTCTCTTTTAGGAGCTTGATTGTGTCTCCCCACTCAAATCATATGTTGAAGTCCTAACTCCTAGCGCCTCAGAATGTGTCTGTATTTGAAGATGGAGCCTTTAATGAGGTGATTAGTTAAAATGGGGCCATTAGGTTGGGCCTTAATCCAATATGATTGGTGTCCTTATAAGAAGAGAAAATTAGGACAC